ACGTTAAAAAATGGAACGTGCTCAGACCAATAAACATTAAAAAAAAATTTTTATTATAAACCCAAAACAAACGAAATTAGATATTATTTAATGAAATGAAATGCTTAATGAGTTTTACGTTTAAATACAGGATATTTAATATTTTCACAAAAACAAGAAAGAAAAAACTTTAAAATATGTTTCAGATAAAGATTTATAGTTAAAGATAATAAATTTTTTATAACTTCATAGGAAAACACAAAAAATACTTTTGTATATAAAAAAAGTACTTCTTAAGTACTTTTCTGTTATTTTTATAATAAATCTTAAGTATTTAAGTATTATTACTTAAGTATTTAATTTAGTTTAAGTATTATTTTAGTTAGTTTCCTTTTTATTTAGTATTTTAATGTTTTCATTATGTTTATTTTCAAGTGTTTTCTTAAAAAAAAATGTTTAACTTAAATACTTGTAAATATGTTTTTGGCAGGATACCACATGTTGAATATTAAAAACAGGAAAAAATAAATTTCCTATCAGCTTGTACTTTTTTTAACACATTATTTTAAGTAAAAATGTACTTAATTTTTTAACATATGTGAAGATTAAAGTGGTTTTTAAACATGATTTTTTTTAAAGGAACGTGGTGGAATTTGAAACAGAGTATTCAACAAATTCAGTAAAATGTTCATGTTTATTAAGTAGTGATTTAGGCTTGACAATTTTACTTGCGCAATTTTTTAAGTTTGTGGAAGAGAGAGAGAGAGGAGAACAGATATTTCTGCCTTTTCCTCTCCCATACAAAATCAAAACTGGGGCAAGTAAAATTGTCGAGCCTGAAACTTACAAAAGTTTTGTGTAGAAAAAAAGCTAAATTGGCAGCACTGCTTTATAACTACATAACTGTTAAAGCAGAGTTAGTGCCGGCATACACTGAGCAACTTTTAATTTTCTCGCTCCCTCAATTTTAAAAAGTTGCTCAGTGTGAATCCAAACTTAAGCCCTGTTTTAGACTAGGCAGTTCTAATTGCGCAAGTTTTTAAGTTTGTGGAAGAAAGAGAAAGGAGAGCAGCATGATATTTTTGTTTCTTCCCCTCTCCTACAAAATCAAAACTTGGGCAAGTAAAATTGCCGAGTCTGAGACAGGGCTAATAAAAGTTTTGTGTACAAAAAAAGCACAATTGACAGCACTGCTTTATAACTACATAGTGCCGGTACACACAGGAAAACTTTTGTTTCAAAAGTTTCCCTGTGTGAACCGGCACATAATTGTTAAAGCCGAGAGTTAGTGCCGGCCTACACTGAGCAACTTTTGATCTTCACTCGACCTCAAAATCAAAAAGTTTCTCAATAAGAACTCGCACTTAATCTCAGATTTAGACTCGGCAATTTTACTTAAGCAATTTATTTATTATGTATGATAGAGGGAAGAGGAGAGAAGAGTGATATTTCTGTATTCAAAACTTCAGCAAGTAAAATTGCCGAATCTGTTGATCTTCTCAAATCTTAACAAACTCAAAAAATTGTTTGATTTTCCTTTTACAAACAAAACTAACTAAATTATTTTATTAAAAAACAACCAACTAACAGCTGTTTTCTAAAATATTTTCAACAGAAAATGGCAGCTGATCATTTTAAATATCAAAAAAAAAAGATTTAAAAAAGTGTAAAGAAAAGAATACCTAGCATTTCAAACCCTATTGAGAATGGTCAGCGTAACGTGACTTTAAACAAAAAACACAAGACACACATTTCAACAAAAAAAACACTAAAAAAGAAACACATTATATACAAATTCCTCTAGATGTAAGCCGGGACACAAAAACAGATGGTACACAACAGTCATTTATAATCAAATAAAAAATCTTGCTTTCAAAAGACAGACATGCTTAATAAATTACTTAAAGTATTAAAGTAGAACAAAGATTTTTTCACAAAAAAAATCTTAAAAAGATGGTAGAAAAAAAAAGAAACTCATTAAAAGGATCTTTACAGGAAAAAAGGATCAAGACAGCAGCAGGTAGAAAGAAATAGTTGAAAACTAGATAAAGAAAAATTTACGCATAACACAAAATAATATCGGGGTGTATTAGACAACTAACAAAGCACCTACACAAATATAGTAGTAAAGAAATCTTTTGAACAGGATATGTGCTTTATAGGAAAAATAAAAGATCCTTTTGTAAACTCTTAAGAAAATGAAACTAAACTGTAAGAGATTTTTTAAAGTAGATTGTCGTGTTTAAAGATAATGAGATGACTAGAGCAGCTGCTTTTTTTAAGAGGTCATAGAATATCATAGATTTAAGCAAACAGGATGCCAAATAATATTTAAGGATAATAGATTTTTTCAAAAACTAGAGCAGGTAGTTAGAGTAAGATTTAAATTTCATGATTTATTAAACTAAAAGGAAGTAGTAAAATATTATATGTATGTGGTTTTTGGTCTTTATTTAAAACCCTTTTACATTTCACTCTTTTTAACATTTCTATATAGTATGTATGTTTTCTTTTTATCACCACAAGAATTAAGCTAAAAACATAATTTTACACAAAAATTTATATGGAAGCAAAAAAATGAAAGTAGCACATTTGGCTTATACAAAATACAGCTGCCAAAAACATATTTACTTTAACATATTTTATTTTTAAAGAAAAAAATATATACAAAAAAATCTTTAGTTGTATGATTGTAACAGCTTATGTATAGCTTATAAATTTATACGATTTTTTTCTGAAAGTATAAAGAAGATACTGAAAAATTAAGTTCAACATTTTTTTTAAAGGATTAATGCGTAAAGAAACCAGAACACAAACACAATTGCAGCGTTAAAACTGCCTTAAGGCAATGTAAATTGTTTTACAAAGGAGAAAGAGAGAGTTAAAGCGTAAACAAAAGTTAAATTATTTTGAGATAATTTTCAGGTCATAAAAATAATTGTAATATTTTTAAGGGAAAAGTTGTAGAATGTTTTTAAAACTATTTTCAAAATGTTCATTCTTTTCTTCAGTTTGATTTTAAATAATTGTACATTAACGTATATTACATATATCTTCTAATGTTTTTCTCAAGATTTGAAAAGTTTTTCACTAAATTTGTTTTAAAAATGACCCAACGGTGTATTTTTCCCACAATTTTTTAATAATTTTGCTTTTAAAATACTATTAAAACCCACTGGCAACCCTTCAATGCTGTCGAAACCATATGTTGAAGAAAAAATCGTTCTTAAAACAGAGAAAGCACTGTTGTTCTCTATTTTAGTCGACTTTTTCTCCATTTCTTCTTTAAATTCTCTTATTTAGCAAACCAAACTCCCAAATTCAATGTTTTCTAATTCAAAATCTTTTAAAAACTTATTCTCGCTTTTCAAAGTGACTGGCAACACTTTAATACCGTCAAACAAAGTTAAAGTAAGGGAAAAGCCTTTTTTGCAGTTGACTTTCCCTCCATTTTTGTGTAAAATCCCATATAAATTGTTACTTTTTAAAAAGTTTTTTTTCATGATTTTTTAATCATTTTCATTTGAAAATCCCTTTAAAACTTATTCCCATTATTTAAACCCACTGGTAACACTTTAACACTGTCAAATGGTATTAAAAACACAGAGTAACTTGTAGTTTTCTTTCACAGTTGACTTTATGTCCCTTTATTGTTAAACATGTCATATGGAGTATAAAAACTCTCAATCTTTAGCTATTGTGTAAACATTTTGGTAAATTTACAATAAATTTTCTCATATTTTTAAAGTTTTCACAGTTTTTTTTTTATAAATTTCTTTAAAAATCCTTAAGAAATCTATTCCCGTTATTCAAACCCACTGGCAACATTTTAATGCTGTCAAATAGGTTTTCTTTTACAGTTGACTTTTTCAACAATTTTTATTTAAAATGTAATATTAAGCAAAAAAATTTCCTTATGTTTAGCTTTTTTCAATAGATTTTTGTATATTTTCCACTTTTGTATAGTTTTTTTCTAAATTTTTTCATAATTTCATTGTAAAAAGTCTTTAAAAAAGTACGCCTGCAATAGGACCCACCGGCAACCCTTACATACCACCAAATAATGTTAAAATTCGATTAAAAAAACTATGTTGTTATCTTTAACAGTTGCTTTCCTCACATTTTGCTTCAAAAATCTCTTATTTTGACAAAAACCTTCCTGTCTTCAGCAATTTTCTATGCGTCTTAGCATATTTTAAAAATTATATAGTATTTTTTAAAGTTTTTACGATTTATTAATGAAAATCTGTTAAAAAAAATCCTTTAAAAACTAATTCCTATTATTAAAACTTAGTGGCAATACTTTATCATACAAAAGAGACTTGAAAAACATTGGTATTTTCTCTTGCTCAGATCATTTCCTCTGTTTTGCCTTAACAATCCAAAACAAAACTTTATTTAGCAATTTTAAAACACTGGTAACTCTTTAATTTACAGAAAAACTTTCAAAAAACCAACAAAAGAATGTTATTTTATTATTCATTTAACTTTTTCTCTCACTTTTGCTTTTAAAAACTCTTCTTAAGCAAAACAAAAAAAACTTCCCACTTGTGCCATTACAACCTACTGGCAACTCACTCAATTAACGGTAATTGTAGCAACAAGTAAATAAAAACAAAGCAAACAATGTTGTCACCTAAACAATAACATAAAAAACCGCTGTATTATTAAATTTTAACGCTGGTATGACCAATTGTGTTTTAAAACAGTTGCTTTAACCGTAAAAGATCACAAATAAAGAAAACTTGAAAAAAATAAAAAGAAATTTATATATGACTGTATAACTAAATAAATATTAAATAATGTTTTCATGTTTTTTGTAAAAATTTTTTGAGGTCAAAGTTTTTTTTCTGTACATTTCGTTTTTAAATAATTTTGTTGCATATTTTTTCTTAAATTTCCCTATTTAAACCCTTTCTCCTTTTTTTGTGGTTATATAGAGTTTATGAAAGTTTTATTATTTCATTTCATGTTTCAGTAAACAAAATTATTATGTAGTTTATTTATTTCGAAAAACTTACCCATACAGTAAAGCAGCTCCCGCAATACCTCCACCACATTGGGCCGTTATATACATACAAGCACGCATGGGTGAGATATTACGTATTACACAGGATGCTAATGTTACGGCTGGATTTATATGAGCACCTGTTAATAGAATGATAAAATATATATTAGAATTTATGTTATTTTTAGGGCAGGGGGAAAGGTAGAAGATTTTTCTCACTTTTTTAAGTTAATAATTGAAATTGTTTTTTGGCACTTGGTGCTGTCGGGGTGAGGAAGATAGACGACGTGTTAAAGTTTGTTAATTTTGTGAAAATGTGTTATTAGGAGCTTTTCTAACATAGAAAAATAAACTGTAAAAGTTTTTTTGGAGAGCCTATTAGGTTTACAATAGATTATTTTGTTTTTAATTGTTATTTTAATGAGTTTTCTAAAAGTTTTAGAAAAAGTGTTTAATTTTAATTTAATAAAATATTGTTAAAGGTTATTATTACAACAGTGTTGCCGCTTAGGAAGCATAAATTCGTGTGGTAACTCTAAATCTTGACAATTTACTTGTTTACCCAGCCATAATCAAAATTTCGTATTTTGATTTTTTCAAGACTTCATTATTATGTATTTGGTTTTCACAAATATAATCTTTTAAATGAAACAATTAATTTCATGTTTAACACTCTTAAACATTAAACCACAAATATAATAAAGAAGAAAACAAAATATCAACAACACATGTTTAAAATTTGTTAATAACAACAATAAAAACAAAAAACAATCCCCATATGTATATGAATATCTTTAAGACTTTATCACATTTGTTTATATACACATATACCAGTGACAAAGACGACACCCTCCCCAAAATAATAAAAAAACGCATACAAAATTCTTTTGAAACTTTTCTCCCCATTTTCCCACGCACTAAAAAGAAATCTATTATGATTTAAAAAAACACGACTCACAACAGTTTAAAAACCTACAACAACATTTATACAACAACCCCACTTGAAATTTGACAATGTCTGTCTTTTAGTCTGTCAGTGTATGTTGTTTAAAAGAGTGTTTTTTGTTATTGTTTTTCTCCATTATGTTTTATTGTACTTACCCGATATATGAAGAAAACATTGTGTCAGGGTGCCCATGGCTAAACCAGAAGCTAAGGCAGTAGCCAACAATACTGAAGAGACACTGGCACCCACACCAGCTCCAGCCGCTGCACCACATACAATAAAAACATAAAAGAATGATGCCAAACATTCACTAATAATGGATCTGCAAAAAGTGGAAAGATTAAAAGAGATTCAATTAATAAAATGTGTTACAATTGAATTTTTTTTACAGTGTAGTTTGTAAAAGAGAAGCATACACAAATTCAGACTATATTTTTGGCTAAACTCCAGATAGTTTAGACTATAGTTAAGAATATAGTTTATACTATAGTTCAAGCTATAGTTTAGGCTATAGTTAAGACTATAGTTTAGACTATAGTTTAGACTATAGGCCAGACTATAGTTAAGACTATAGGCCAGACTATAGTCCAGACTATACTTTTGACTATAGTCTAGACTATAGTTTAGACTATAGTCCAGACTTTAGTTTAGACTATAGTCCAGACTATAGTTGAGACTATAGTTCATTATAGTTTAGACTGTAGTCCAGACTTTAGTTTAGACTATAGTCGTCTACTAGTTTAGACTGTAGTCCAGACTATAGTTAAGACTATAGTCCATACTATGATTTAGACTATAGTCCAGACTATAGTTAAAACTATAGTCCAGACTTTTAATCACATTAAAGTCCAGACTATAGTTTTAACTATAATCCAGACTATTGTCCAGTCTATAGTCAAGACTATAGTTTAGACTATAGTCCAGACTATAGTTAAGACTATAGTTAAGATTGTAGTCCAGACTATAGTTAAGACTGTAGTCCAGACTATAGTTAAGACTATAGTCCTGATTATAGTTGAGACTATAGTTATAATTATAGTCCAGGCTATAGTTAAGACTATAGTCCAGACTCTAGTCCAGACTATAGTCCAGAATATACTTTAGACTATTGTCCAGACTATAGTTTAGACTATAGTTCGGACTATAGTTTAGACTATAGTCCAGACTATAGTTTAGACTATAATCCAGACTTTAGTTCAGACTATTGTCAACACCATAGTTCAGACTATAGTTCCTTTCAAACTATAGTTCAGATACTAGTCTAGGCAATAGTTCAAACTATACTCCAGATTATAATTTATAATATAGTCTTGGCTATGGTCTAGACTATAATCCAGACTTTTTCAATACTTTGGTTTAGACAATAGTTCACACTTTAGTTCAGACTAAAGTTCGGACTATAGTCCAGATTATAGTTCATTCATTTGCCAACACTATAGTTCAAAATATTCAATTCTTACTACAGATTAGATTATAGTTAAGACTTCAGTCCAGACCACACTATAGTTCAGACTAAAGCCCAGATCATAGATCAGACTATATCAAAACTATAGTTCGTAGCCCAATTTATAGTTCAAACTAAGGCCCAAACTGTAGTTCAGTCTAAAGTTCCAACTAGAGTTCAGACAAAAATAACAATTAGAGTTCAGTTTACCAAACTTTAACAATTTTTTCCTTTAACTGTAGTCTTCAGCAAATAAACCCCAGTTTTTTTTTTTCAAAAAGAATATTTTAAAGCAACAAAACATCTGCACAATATTTGTTATTTTTATAGACTTAACCAATAAAATAATACGAAAGCGTTGGTGTCATCATATTCTCAACAAAAATAAACATGACTTTCAGAAACAAAAAGTAAAACTTTAACAGGAAAATAATAAATAAACAAACAAATTCATTGTAATCTTTAGATAAGGAATCAAAAACTCAAAATCAAACAGCTGCATTGTTTTGCAGAGACCCTTATAAAAATTTCTTAATCAAAAGCATAACTCACCTCCAAAATTCCAAAGTTCTGATCTCAGCCTGCATGCTTCTTTTCGGTTGTAAAGTGCTGGAGAGACGATTATTTAAAGCATTGCATTGAGTATCTTTGCGCATGGCCTCCAGACGTTCGAATAATGTAACAATATGAACATCAATATTGTTTTCTAACGGTATAGTGTGTAAAGTTTCGTCCGCCATATTGAGAAATTTAATTTACTTTAAGTGTTTAGTATGAAAATTTTAATTAAAAAAAGTCTTTTACTTGTGGCCGCCTTTTTAAAAACTTTTTTTTTTCAAAACACTACAATTAATGTGTTAATTTTTTTTTAAAGTATTTATTGCCTTTTATTAACAATTCATTTTGTATTATATTTCTGTTTTAATTCAATTCTTTTTGGGGGGATGTTTGCAAAAAAACACTATAAATTGTTCACTTTTAATTGAATTAAATTCAATTAAATTTTTGCTTCACTTTTTATTATGTGGCGACACACACACAACAAAATCTTTTTTAAAAATGTGCAATTTACTTTTTTGAAATTTTAATTATTCTGTCACAAATCACTAAAATGATCTTTTATTCGAATAAAATTTCTTTAATAATTTCAATTTTATTTGATGCGTTATAAAAATGATTCTGTAGCACCCGCGTCAGTAGTAGTTGATGGATATAACAACCGTTCTTAACCGAGTAACAAACACGAATGAATTGTAACGCCTGCGATTGCATTCAAGCCGGTGATGTTGTCGATGACGACGACAACAATGATGATGATGATACTCTTCTTCTTCTTCTTCTTCTTCTTGCCTGGCTTTTGTTTATTGTTATTGTTGTTGCTATTGAGAAAAAAACCCACTAGTTTGCCAAGTGAAATGCACATGACAAGAAACAAAACAACCACACATTGCATGAAATGAGACACATACACACACACTCGCCCATTTACAGGCAAAACAAAAACAACAAAACGCTGAATAAAACTCACCACCAAAAAGAACAATACGAAAACAACCTGAGCCTATTTACCGGCAAACCTACCACACTATGTAATGTTTGAAAGGAACACTAACGAACATGTTGTTGTGTTTGTTGTACGCACAAGTTCGTTATAAAAATCAACCACCCCTGCCACCGACTCAAAACAAGGGAAGTTAGATATAAATAAAAAATGAAACAACAACAAAAACTTGCAAGTGTTTGCCCAAATACATGTTGTACATTATTTCATACACAATTATGTATGTTTGTATGAAAGAGTGCGGTATACAATGGCATTGAAACACTTTTGAATGTTTTTGAGTTATCATTGGAATACTATTGTTGAAGGTTTCATAAAACCTTGCTGATTATTCAAGAAAAATATTCTTGTGACGTTTTCCTTTTACGATTGTGACACGCTCTGATCTTAGTAGCTCTAACACATGTTTATTTTAATATTCCATGCGTGTTTTTGATTTTATAAACATTTTTCATTCTTCCGATTTTAGATTACTTCATTAGCAGGTTTTGAAATTCTTTCAGTAACGGAAGTTCCTAAAACTCTATATAGTTTGATTGGTATTTAAATATAATACTGTCAGTTATTGACAACGAAATCATCTAGAATCCTGACTTTAGGTTTATCATTAAGTTGAAAGGAGGAAAAGTTCCATTTCATGGTATATGTTGGTGCAAAATCCTCAAAGATCTATAAAAAGAATTTTCGTACAATGTTTAGAAACTCAAAATTTTGCAATCAGTTAGCCTGAGGGATTTAATATCTGGAATAACATTGCTCCCAAGATATTTCCATCTAATTTCGACAAAAGCTTGGTAATGATAGAGAAAGTGTTCCAGAGTTTCACTGTCCTCTCCACAACTCCATTCATCTGTATCCGATCGTCCAATTTTATTTAGTTGTACACGATTATCTGTGTGTAACTCTGTACTTATTCTTAATGAGAAGGCTTCTCGTCGGGGTCACCTCAAAGCCTGACAATGAGAGAGATAGTGGTTCAGCATTTCACTGTCCTCTCCACATGGTCTTCATTCATCTGAAGCCGATCGTCCAATTTTATATAGTTGTACATGATTTTCTGTGTGTAACTCTGAACTTATTCTTATTGAGAAGGCTTCTCGTCGGGGTCAACCCAAAGCCTGGTAATGATAGAGAAAGTGTTCCAGCATTTCACTGTCCTCTCCACATGATCTTCTTCTGAATCCGATCGTCCAATTTTATATAATTGTACATGCAAATCCGGACTTATTCTTAGTAGTCCTACCGACTGTTACATTTTTACAAGTATCCCCGTTACCACGCTCAGTTTTGCATTCTCAAACTTTGCTCCCTTTATAGCAAGTACATTCACCCTTTCATTACAAATTATCCCCGAGTGGCTTAGTACCCACGTTTAGACGAAGCTGGGTAATCGTCTAGTATCTCTATCGTATCTCTAAAGATATGCGGGGACAATTTGTAATGAAAGGGCGAATGCGCTGATATAAAGGGAATGCAAAACTGATCGTGGTAACGGTGCTGAATTTTTGGCGAAAGTTTCTCAAACGACCACTTGTAAAAATGTAACATACAATTCAGCAAAATTTCGACTAAAATCGGGATGAAGATATTCTAAGCAGATCCTACCCTAATTTGTGTTCCGACATTCAGATGCATAAAGCCTCGCAGCGCTGTAGGTAGAAGGATTTGACCCACATATTGTTCTATTGGAAATAATTCTAGCCGTTATATTAAGTAGAACATTATCCGGTGTACATCGTAAATCTGAAGAAACGGCATTAGTTCCAAAACGATTAATCTGTCAATATTAAACTCAACAACAGTTTGTACTGAAAATTCGAACTTATATGTATGGTCCTTTTGGCCGCTTTATGGTACCTGAAAATATATTTAAAACAGGCAAATGGAATAGAAGAAGTTATATTTAGTGAGAGACAAGAGAAGGAGTTAATAGGTAAAAGAAGTGGAGAGTCTTTGACTCGAAGGGCTACTGATCAGTGCTACTGGGATTTGTTTTATCACAGCAATCACAATGCCGGATAAAGGCGTTTCGGTTGTCTTATTTAATTCAAGATAACTCTGAAGTGTCTTTTAAAATCGATGTCCCTAATTCCGGAAATTGACATAGATAATTAATTTATTCCTCTTCTTCCTCATTCTACAGAAGTCATTGTAAGTCTCATTGCATGATCAATAAATTTACAAAGCCTTGTGATGACGATGATCTATTTGCTGAGTTGGGACCGGCTTTGTTTCAGAATATAGTCCAGGCAATATCTTCCTAGTTTTTGTGAAAGTTGGTTTATTTTTCCATCTTATATGGGAAAGTTCGTAAAAAATTTTGTCTATTTTCTCAAGTTTATCAGCGACACAGTTGCCTATAGAATCTCCGTGTCCTCGTACACATACGAGTACGATGCTTGAGTGTCTCGCCATCCTGTTTAAGAATGTCCAACATTCCTGGACTAATCGTAATATAGAGTATACACCTATCAGGCACTTGATTGCAGCCTGACTGTCAGTGAAGATTCGGATATCTCTGTTCAGTTTGCTAATCTTTTAATGGCTGAAATCTCGGTCTGAATTGAACTACAATCATTGCCGATTCTGAAAGTATTCCTAACATCAAATTCTGGAATGAAAATGCCTCCACCTACTCGTTCTCCTCGTTTAAAGTCGACAGTGTACACGCAGAGGTTTCGTGAGGAGCGATCTTCCTTGAGTCCAGCATTTTACGAGATAACGAAGCCAAAGTTTCTCTGGAGGAAGGGCTTGGTGATGCCTTCTCGGCAATTCTCGCATGTCCATATGATCACTTCAATCTGATTGCCGTTCTGAGTGCCATTTTTCTGGCCAACAACTCTGCTGAAATTAGGAATTTCGTTGAATTTGTCCCCAGTGATCCGTTTATTCAGAACTTTGTCAAGGAGTTTGAAATCTGAGTTTCTATTTAGCGCTTTCCACCAAACAATAACTTAATAAAACTGAATTTGTTTGATAGCCGTTTCAAAAATATATTTTAAAGTTTGGGATCAAATCCCCAATTTTCCTTCTGTCTGCCTAGCTATTTGTACAGTCCAAAAGTAGGAGTACAACTTCGTTTAGGTGATGCAGTTTAAAAGAGTGGATCTTACACTTTCTGGTAAACAGTACAAGTTCGGTTTTGCTTAGATTTACGCTTAAACGACTATCGATGCTGCATCGACTTCAAGTATTTTGAGTGTATATTCCAACCTTTGCGATATTATGTTCTGATGGCAACAGTTTTATATCTCAAGGAGTCCACAACATTCCAAAGAAGTGTAAAGGGGACACCTCCTGTTTGACTTTCTTTGAATCATTTCTGTACCCATGTTGGAACAGATAATCCAAGGTTCAAGGACGTCTTTTATGAACCTTATTGTTAAATCAGCTACTTTAAGTTCTTGAAGAGCTGATATCAGGTGAAAAGCATCTTCTATATCCAAAATTCCACTACCTTGTAATTTCCGAATTCAAGTTATTTCTCTGTTCCCAACTAGAGAGTGTAATGCAGTCTTAGCCGATTTTCCCTTGGAATATGAGTGCTGAGAAGATGACAGGAGAGAAAGGTGAACATCAATGATTCTTTTCAAAGTTTTCAGCAGAAAGGAAGAGCACAGAGAAGCTACAACCCAAAGAATAAACCTACAACCCTTTAAAATGGATAATAGGTAATAAGTAAGCAAAAAAGGAAAGGAAATTTACAAATTTTCGTAAATTTTTATCGTAATTAAAAAAACCAAATAAAACCTTATGATATTTATTGCAAATACAACGTGTTTACTTTGCATTTTTGCCCTAATGATAAGAGTATAAATAATAAAATAAACATGACAACCTGAATTTTTTTATAATCCAGTTTTTTATGCAACGAAAAAAATTTAAAGAATATTCATCCTTTTAATGACTTTGCAAATTAACTCTAACTCCATAACAATTTTAAGGATTTGAATATGTAACCCTTTCATTCTGGAAAACTATCGCAATCATTATTATTTTAACCAACAACTCAACATTTTAGTGGTTGATTTATATGATTCTTCTTGTATTAAAAGGATCTGCTTTTTGAAAAAAAGGACATTATGTTGTATTTTTTTAGTGTGTGTTGCATGTTACAATTTAAATTAACCCTTTAGCTTGGTTATTTTTTTTAACTCTTTCTTTATTTTTTGTGGAAAGTGGGTTTTGGGTGTTGTTTACATTGACAGTGACATACGAAATGTATAAATAATATTCAAATTCGTGTCAGCATCATTAACGGTTACAAAATCACAGATTAATGATGTTACTTTCAGCGTTTCTGAAAAAAAACCACCGTAAGTTTGAGAGTCTGTGTGAAAAGTTCATGTGTTTCTTGTGGGGAACATGTGTATGTCACGACCTTTACAAGTGATTTTACATTATTATAATGCATTGTTGTATTCTACAATTTAATTCAAGTACATTTTACATTTGTTTATTTCTACATGTTGTAAATAAATAAGAATCATAGTCGTTTGCATGTTGTTATTCAAATTTAACCCTTTGCCTTGGGTCCATAAGATTTAATTGTTTGTATAATGATTTTATAATGTGATCTGTATTGATATGTTTCCCCTAAGTAAATTTTAATGCTAAAGAGTTCCATTCGTATTTGGTTTAAGGTTAAGGTGGGTTTGTAATGTGGG